GTTTAGGATCCGCCGACCCTGGCGGCGTGTTGGATGGGTCTCGATTCGATGGGTTTGGAGGAGTTAACCTCCCTTTTTCCCTCCTCCCACACCGAAATCCCGCACAGGCAGGGGGGGGGGGGTACTCCATGGCCCCCTCCCCCCTCTTCCCCCCCTCCCCCCCCTCATTCCAGTCCTGGTGGCGCCTAAACCCCAAACCCTAAACCGGAGCCCAAAGACTAATGAGATTGAACCCCCCCCCAAAAAAAATACGCAGATACCAAAGCATTCCATGTTCGTACCACGTTTCAGGTCCTCCAGAAGCTTAGGGGTTTAGGCTTACTTTAGCTTTGAGGCTTCAGGATTTAGGTTAGGTGGGGAGTTTAGGGTATGCAGGGCTTCTATAAGGCTCCTATAGCCATAACTACCCACCTGAAAATGTCCTAGATTAAGGGCAGGATGTCCAAGACAAAGATCTTGAAGCCACGGAGCTCAGGGCAGCAAAACCCAGGGGATCCAAAACTCCAAAGCCCCACAGTCGGGATTCGGACTCCTACTTAAAATGCGAAGACCAAATCAGGGTTTAGGGTTTAGGGTTTAGGGGCAAACCCTAAACTCACGGGAGAACTGTGATGATGAAGTTGTGCTTTCATCTGGTGCTTTTCGAGTGAAGGGTCTCGATCACAACAAACCTAGCAACGGTGTTCAGACTCTACAGCAACATCTGAAGAAGGAGCTCGGAAAAAGAAGTAATGTAGGGGCCTTAATAATTAGAATAGGGTTTGGGGGTATATTATACTATACGTATAACAAGGAACACCGAAAATAGTATAGGTAATTAATTATTTACGCCCCTACCTTATAGACTAAGTAGACTTCCAGAAAACCCTAAAGACCAAAGCGTGAAGCGCTGAGAGAAACTGAGGGGACGGAGCCTGTCCAACCTCCTGCAACGAGGCCTGGTCCCACCTGAAAAGGGGTTTAGGGTCTAATATAGGAGCCTTAATAAATAGAATCAGAATGAGGTTTTCGGGCCAATTAGAATAAGGAACCCCCAAAATAGTATGGGTAATTATCTTGGCCCCTACATTAGGGTTTTGGGCTTACGGAAGAAGCTGCGTCACAGAAGGGTTGAACGCTTTTAGGGGTGAGGGCACTCGAGGTTTATAAGGCGAGGGGATTCAAGGTATTAAGCTATCAAAGCAAGATCAGGACTTCCCTTGCCGTACCTGCTTAAGAGGTACCTATAGTCTCCATTGTAGTTCCTTTTTTGGTTAACCAGTTTTATGGTTAGGATCCTGTAATATAAATTTGGTTAACCAGAAAAAGGAACTACAATGGAGACTATAGGTAGTGTATGGTAGTGTAACAGGGAGCCCAGAAAGTAAAGCCCACCGGCTCTCTCCCTGAATCCCTTCAGCCAAGCTCCAGACCCTGAAACCCAAATCCTTTTTGCATCCAGGCCTATTGCGACTGCCGGGTACCCCTGAAAGGAGATCCTAAGCCACAAAACCCTCAACGACTTCGCTATCCGCAGCTCTGCAAGTCTTACGCTTCTTCTATGACTCGGCCTTTCAAAGAGTTTCGAATCGCTGGTAAAGCAACACTTTAAGGGTCCACGTGAACAAGTGACAGTAAATTGACCCTACAGTACCGAAATACGGACTACTTTGAGGGTTTAGGAAAAGCTGTATGTATAAGTACATTGACCCTGAGGGACAAAGATAATGTCGCAAGGTGTCCTTGACCCGATTCCCGTGTCCAATAAGCATCGAATAGTCAGCAGCACGAAGAAAGAGCGGTCACAGTGCGGATAGATGATGCAGCAGTCATCACCGGAGACATTCACAGCGCCTCTTTCTGGTGACACCTTCAGAACACCTACACCGTAAAGTAAAAACCTAGACAACCAACAGAACCCGGCCTCCAAAACCTTGAGGCCCTGGAGGGGCCTCGACGTCGAAGGCTCCTTGGACCTGGTCTCTGCCTTAAACTACCAAACCCTACTTTTTGTAGGTTCTTATTATAAACCCTAATATGGAATTTATAGGGACCCTACAAAAAAGTAGGTTTTGGTAGGTTTAGGGTTTAAGGTTTTAAGGCTTAGGATTGTGGCTGTACGCTCTGGCAACTCGGACAAGCTAGGCGAGGTCTCTCGGTTCGCAGTCGGACAGCGGGAACAAAGCTCAGCATCACCGAACTCAAGGAAATAAGGAATAGGTGATGACCCCAGGACATGAAAGGAGATAGGTTATGGCTTAATTAATAGGGTTTAGGAGTTTGGGTTCAGGAGTGAGGATTTTGAGCTGAGGGGTTTAGGGTTTGGGATTTAGGGCTTAGGGTGGAAGGATCGCAGTCTCTAGATCCTGCAAGCAGCCAGCAGGTTTGGGGGGCTGGTTTGGGCCCTCACACCCGGACGGAATGCCTATCAGATTCGCCTCTACTCATGCCCGAAGCGGCTTGCAAACACCCTAGACAGATAAACAGCCTCCTAATAATACTCTAAGCTGTCAAAAGCATAAGCTCTGAAGCCTCCAAGCTCTATCGATCCCAACAGCAGCGATGCCCATAACGTTAACCAAGAAGCCACAGGAAAATCCCCAACTCCCAAGCCTCCAAACTCCGCTGGTGTTTGCTACCAAACAAGATGAAGGCCCTACTGGAAATTGGGAGCTGGGTGTATAGGGCTTGGTTGGATGCAGCCCCAGAAGGAAGAAAGCTCTGGACATATACTTGCAGGGTCCGGGTCATGAGCACTTGTACGCGAAATGGGTTTATAGGTGACGCCTTCGAGCATGTGTTGTTGTGCCTCGAAACCCCACTGATTACGACCCGCGAACCCGCAACCAAGGTTCAACACGCCAGGGCACTGCCTATTGTTAAATCAAGATGCAGGGTGCATTATAGCCTGAGCTATCAGGATTACAAGGACTGCATATCAACTTATTCGAACCTCTATCCTGCCTACACTATTTTGTGCCATACTATGCTGTACTATATTATTATACGGTAGTCTGCTATACTCTACTCTACTCTACTGTACCGCACTTCACTGCACTGCTCTGCACTGTTCTATACTACTATACCAGTATACTATAGTCTACCATACTCTACTCTACTCTACTATTACCAGGGCTATGGGAAACCCCAAAAAGTTGGAAACCGGATTAAGGACAAATAATGCTGGGATTCCCTATACATTACTCTTCAGGACTGAGGCTATTGGGTTTCCAACTTTTGGGCTTCTACCTCCTAAACCCTAAACCCTAAACCTTTAGGGATTCGCACCCCTTGAGCTCTCTTTGCACCACAAGCCGAGCCACCTCTGGGCCGGGGTCTCCGCCGAGCCTTCTGCGCGAAGAAGCGCTGGCCCCGCCTGCCCAGGGGAAGTTTTTTGGGGTTTGTGGGATTCAACGACTTTGGGGCTCTTTTTTTGTGCTTTTCGGACTTAGGGCTTTAAGGGTTGCATGGTTTTGGGGCTTTCAATATTCAAGAATCTCGGGGCTTTAGGGCTCAGGGGCACCCGAACCCTTGACATTGGTGTTGAGGGATCGAGTGTGTCTCCGCACCTGCTTTACATACGCAGTCTGGGATATCACCCGCCTTGGGTCACGATCAGTTTTAACGCGGGCTTTCCTGGGACAGAGACAAAGTGAGAACGCCTTCAGCAAGGAAAGATCTGGCCTCAAAGAAGCTGGGGATTCTTCGAGTTCGAGTTAGAGGCACAAACATGGGCCAGAGATGATCCGCCTACTGCAACCCTGAACCCAAGCCTGGGCCTGTAAAGCCCACCCGGATTCTACAACATCACCAAACCCTGAACTCTACTCCATGAAGATCTACGCCCCATAAAACCTGCAAATCTTGAAACATCAAACCCTAATCGCACGCAGCCTTCGCGCCGTTCTCCTTCCCGAGGATATGAACCGTCAGCCACTGCCCGGTCTGTGCCAAAGCCAAGGGTTGGATGCCAGTTTCGACCTTGGGGCAGGCATTTCAGAGTTTAGGGTTTAGGGTTTAGGGTTTCGGGTTTTGGGTTTAGGGTTTAGGGGTCTAGGGGTTCAGGGTTTAGGGGTCTAGGGTTTAGGGGTTCAGGGTTTAGGGTTTCAGACCTCGTGCATCCCTGCCACGCTGAGATACCTATAATCACTAGTGCAAGGACCTCCCTCTAGTATGCCTTGCAAAGAACTATTCGTAACTTTTCTATTCTTTGATCGCTGTACGAACTCGAAAAGGGCTTACAGTGTGCTATTAGTTAGCACTTGCCAAGTGGGTAGTTGTCAAAGTTATGGTCCCTTTCGGGGTACCCTAAATAATAGGTGCCTTTTTTTCATAAGGACCCAAAAAGGGACCATAACTTTGACAACCACCCAAGTGTTCTTACTACCCCATCGACTGGTATAGAGCATCCTGCACACTTGCGTCCCCAAAGTTGTATGCCCTCTGCCATGAACAACGAACTTAAGGGCCAAAAGGGTCATGAGGTTTTGGGTTCAGGGCAGCTTCAAATTGGGTTGCGTAGGTATTTCCAGAAGAATCAAGAAACCCCAAAGGAAGATGCCCTAATTGAACAGCTCCACTTTGGAGCAGTCAGTCTCCTACCGCTTCTCGGCATGCACTCCACCAAGCCACGGAAAATCAAGCCGCTCTTCTGGCCCTGAACATTGCTCGCTACAACTGGTTGATTTCACTTTCAATTGAAATTCTAAACTTTAAGCCTCGGTCGCCTCAAGTCAAATCTTAAAGCCTAAACTTCACTAATCCCTTTCTGGCTTGTTCCCCCCGAAACCCTCAAAATCTCCGTGCATCCAAGGTGCCCCAAGACCCTCTAGCAGTCTTAACACGTCCTCGGTAGCGACATTGCCGCTGGCTCCTGGACAGCAGCTCCGGGCTTCCGTAGAGTGTGGGATTTGGGGTGTAGAGTTGCGGTTTAGGGTTTCGGCACTCACACTCGGACAAGTCAGGTTTAGCGGTTTAGGCTTCAGAGTTTAGGGTTAAGGGTGTAGGTTGCCCTCAACGACTCAACGCAGCCCACAACGTTCAGCAACACAAGTAAGCTGCTGGAACTGGATCTTTGCCCAACAAGCGCATGCCGTGAGGATTTATAGAAACCGAGGGAATCCTGATCTGAAGCTATCTTCACTTCTCCGGTACTGACAATCGGGAAGTTTCAGGGATTGCGCCACCAGTTGATTCGTACTACAGTTGCTAGATCGCTTTTGCCAGAGTCGCACAGGTCCTGTACAGACATGAAGACGTTTCATGACGCTCGAAAGCGTGCTTTGTTCAAACTATTAGGCTCGAAAACCCACACTCTCACTGGAAGCTAGCATGGTTCCTTGATTTTGTGAGTGCTCTTTTGACTTTAACTGCCACCTCCTATCCCGCAAACTGCGAGGAACTCTTCAACTCGAACAGCCTGGCCCTGCAAAAGGGCAGCCGCCCACGCCGCCAGCAGCGGCGTCAACGCGGAGAACTCCGAATTGCAGCGCCTGCAAGAACAAAGGCATCTGAGTGTAGAGACTGATGAGTAAGTAAACTGAATGTTCGAACCGTTTGCACCCTACCCACATGACTGTATATCGCATGTATATCGCATGCACATGTCTGCCCTTCACGTCTGCCAGTATGTCTATGTCTGTGTGTGTGTGTGTGTTTGTGCCTGTGTGTCTGTGTCTGTCTGTGTCTGTGTGTCTGTGTGTCTGTGTGTCTGTGTGTCTGTCTGTCCGTGTGTCCGTGTGTCTGTCTGTCTGTCTGTCTGTCTGTCGGTCGGTCGGTCGGTCGGTCGGTCGGTCGGTCTGTCTGTCTGTCTGTCTGTCTGTGCCTGTCTGTCTGTGTGTGTCTCTCTGTGTGTGTGCGTGTGCGTCTGTCTGTCTGGCTGGCTGGCTGTCTGTCTGTCTAGCTGGCTAGCTGGCTGGCTGGCGGGCTGGCTGGCTGGCTGGCTGGCCGTCTGTCTGTCTGTCTGTCTGTCTGTCTGTCGGTCGGTCTGTCTGTCTGTCTCTCGGTCTCTGTATCTACCCATGTATATGTCTAGTCATCGACCTACCCATCCAACATTGTACGGATATAGGTACACATATAGATGTTGATATGGATTCTATGAGGTTCGGCCTGCACGTACCTGCATACAATATCCTGGTCAGGAAACTGAGACCTTGTTGAGTGTGGGGCCCTGATCTTATCTAAAATACGACACATTATCCAGACCAGGACACCCTGAACCCAAAACCCAACAGGGCAGTACGTCCCTACTAAGCCCTGCTACATAGTACAAGTTTCTTTCCAGTCTGCGGCCCGGAGCGTCTAGTCTATGGCTTGCGGTTCGAGTCCGCAACAGATCTGTATAGTCTAATTACGTCAGGGGGAGCTCTAGACTCTATGAGCCCTGCACCATGAACTCTCAATTCTAAGCGTCTAAGCTGCACCTTTCTTTAGAAGGGTCGATGACTCAAAGCTAGCCCGTATCAATGCTTGACTCAAACCCGTCACTTCGGAAGCCAAGCTCTACAGTCCCAGCAGACGCTGAGCCGACGGCTGCTAAAGTGTTGGCCACCGCCTGGTCGAAGAACGTAGGTTGAGGAGTCTAATGATCAGTCTATGAAAATGTGAGGTTCCACACTTCCCGCTCCCGCAGTGTTAGAGTGCCATACTGCCAAATGATAATCCTATCTCGTACGGCTACTGCCCGCCTGGCCATAGGTGTCGTGGAAATGGACCCCAATTTGTTCCATGGGGACACCCGCACCTGTCAAACAAAGCTTACGGAGTTTACTGTTCAGGCGATATATTGCCCTTTTAGCGTTTGGGGATTCGGGCTTGATCATGTCAGGACTTTCGGGCCATGCTTATCAAACCCCAAAATCTTGAAAGCAACACTTTGGGGTCAAAGACTGAGGTAGCGGAGCTTTCGGAATAGTGCTTGGGACCCCCAACCCACACAATGCCGTTTAAACATAATACGACAAAACCCCCCAATAATCCGGAAAGCCAAAATGCCAAACCCTGGGTCGTAACCCCAAAACCCCTGCAACATCCCCCCATCCCCCTACACCCGAAGGGTTTAGGGTTTAGGGTTTAGGGTTTAGGGTTTAGGGGTTTAGGGTTTAGGGTTTAGAATGCCCCAGTCCTGGTGCACAAAAGCTCCAACCCCGAAGTGCCAACGAACTTAACCCTCGAACCTTGAAATCTGCAGCCGCCGAAGGCTTGGCAACCAACTAAAGGAACCATGGGAGGAACCCTTAAAGCAAAGGGACCCTTAGGGGGTCAGGGGGTAAGGGGGAGGTGGGACTATACTTTTTTAAATCGGCCTCATTAAGTCCTTATTACAGGCATAAAGGCCCGCTTACCCGCCTCCCCCCTACCCTTCTCAGGGTCCTTATGATTATCAAAGTTGGAATATGATTATCCTCAGGCCCTTAAGGTAAAGCTTACGGGGTCCTAGCACGAATCCTCCTAAACTCATGTTCCAACTTTTGGGGATTCGCTGTAAAGGAGTCTTCACAAAGGAACCTATGACCCTAAACCCTAGAAGCCCTAAGCCCTAAACCCTCAAAAAGGAACCCTAAACCTTAAGCCCTAAACCCTCAAAAAGGAACCCTAAACCCTATAAGCCCTAAACCCTCAAAAAGGAACCCTTTGAAGGAACTCGGAAGGGCCCGGCCAGGCCTGCAACCTCCTCCAGGACCCGGCGCCTGGGTTTTGCCGCTGTGTTCGGTTTAGGGTTTAGGATTTTTCGAGGTTTCAGGGTTTTCAGGGGTTTTAGGGTTTTCAGTTCTAGGGTCTAGTGGCACTTTTTCGGATTTAAGGAAAATCCAAGCCCACGAGGCCGCCAGTGTGCAAGCACAGCTAGTAGGGAGTTTCCAGAGGGTTTAGGGTTTAAGTTTAAGGTTTAGGGCTCGGCAACATGTTCAAAAGATCAACAGCTCAAGTAAGGTGCTTGTGCACCTAGTAACTAGCGCCCACAGGATAGCCACACACTCACCCATAATCCTAGGAGAGCCCTATACACACTCGCAGAAGCGAAAAAACCCAACCCCGCTTCACTTCAAGTTAAGTTTAAAACCCTATGACTACGTAACTTTTGTGTCTGCAATTTCAACAGCCTACTGAGCTCCTTCACCCTGAACGAAGATCCTTCAAGACCCAAGCACTTGCAACAAGAACACCTCCCCCAAAACCCAAAACCGTTTAGAATCCCAACCCCTCAACCCTCCGAGCCCTACGACCATAGCACCCGAAAGCCCTACAATCCTACAAACCCCCTACAGACCCGCAGACCCAAAAACAACCTTAAACTTAAACACACCTGATAATCCTCGACCCTAAACCCAAATCGCTATACAAAATGACGCCAAGTCGCACTCCGGCTGCCGTACCCACGCCTGTCGTGTCGCAAATCAGAAGCTCCTCGCAGCCTGCCTGGGGCCCAGGGTATAGGATGCCAGTTGGAACCGACACCCATTCTGGGCAGGGAGAAAAACACCACAGACATACTGTTGATGATAGAATTAGAAATCCTGCATTACCTTAAGGACCCTACACTATGGGAAATATGGCATATTCTTTATGATGGGAAATGCAGGATTTATATCATCAACCGTATGTTTGGTGCTTTAGGCCCGGGGCCAGTGTCCGCGGGTCCAAGTACTTGGTTCTTGCGAAGGACTTCAATTGCCATAATAAGGATGCCTTATTATTCAATATAGATCCTATCATGGTAACTTAAGGCAAGCTGCAAGCTCTTTAGCAAAAACCCAGAAAATGGAGGTGCTCTTCTCCGCACATCTCTGGGAAAGCCGAGCTACCTCATGAAGGCGCGCAGCCACCTGCAATGGCAGGTGTAACGCAACTTAGGGAAAGAACATTTTGGGAGATCTGGCCTTGGTTTTGAAATTAGCATAGATTAACCGTACGTACAAAAAACAGAAAACGGATCGGAGGCCTGAGTAGTGACCCGTGGCATAGACAAAAAACAGCACAGTATACCTCATCCTGTAACCCTCTCTCAGCACCTTTTTGAAAGTCTGTTGCGAGTCGCGACGTAACCTAGCGGTATAAAGGTGTGGCTTCAGACGAGGTTAGTGCCTCGGCGCTCACTCCCGAACATGCCAGGCGAGCTGATAGGGCTTCGGAAAGTTTAGGGTTCAACTGCTTCACCTCACATGGATGGAAACCTAGTGTGAAATTCAAATTCCAGGTGAAACGATTTTTTGTAAGCTGCGGAATCCTCAAAACCATGTGTCATCCTAAGTTTAACTCAAACAACTTCTGAAGTAGTAAGATCTATGCGCCCCCGAAGCCACTCGAAGCCTGAGTCCCAAACCTTGTCCAAACCGTGAAAATACCTTGTACAATAAGCCTCTAACTTAGGGCTTAAAAGTTTAAGCTTAAAAAAATATAGGATTTATCATCCTGAACTTCCAAACCCTCAAAAACTCTGTATAATCACCATTTAGAAACCCAAACCTCTCCAACTGATTGTCAGCAATGGCAATCGGCCTTGGCCACTTGTCTGGGAGGCACCTCGCCCTCGTAGGGGCATCCGAGGCCTTCGCCCGGCAGTAGGATTTGGGGCCTATGGTCCATGGTCTGGTTCTCGATCTACAGGCTCTTTAAGGTTCCGGATTTCCGTTTTAGAGCTTCCGGATAGTGGGTTCCGCATAAGGTCTCTGTCTTGCAGCCCGGGCGCTTTGTCTAGTTTAACTTGAACCCATTGGCTCCAAGTCGACCAGTCAGTATGAAGCCAACACAAACGCATAGCGCTGACCGTGAAGCTCTTGCAACAGTTTAAGATCCTTAAACTTCAGGTCCTGAGCCCAACCCAAACCACGTCCCCATGCCAACTCGGGCTGTCGCAGACAGAGATGGCCGCACGGACCGAGCAACTAGCTTGCTGTGCTCGTTCCATGACTGCCTGGCGTGTTTGCCCTTGGGGTTCAACGTCTACGCTTGGCCACTGCTTCAGGTCCTACTAACCCTTTTCACGACTCAGAGAAAAGCTCCCGAGCTCCCAGGATGTCACGCAATGTTTCTCCACCGATCAAAGTCCAGTGGAGACATGGTGTCCAGGGCAGGTCGATGTCATGAAGGCGAGGAATCACGCGGTAAATTTTGGAGCAGATTTGTGCAGATGGCATGCAGGCCCAAACCCACACAGCAAACTTTCGGGTAATCTTCATACAGGTGTTGACACAGGCCAAAACCCAAACCCGTACTTGCATATGCAACCACACAGAGCCGAGTATCGCACGCAGATGCATGACCTTATCCAAGCCAAGGTGGAGTCCTTTTGTTCATCTCCAGCTGTTCGGTTGCCAAAGTCATCAGTGGGCTACACAGCCCATGGTGCACGCACCTTGCGCAATACCAAACCAAGCAGATTTGCATCGAACTCAAGTCGTTCGTCTCAGTTGAGAGCGCCCGGGCATTCTCCAGCCAGTGGGCCCCCAGGCTCCCAGTCAGGAACCAGCAGCGAGTGCGGGTCTCTGCTATTGCTCTTGCCATCTCTTGCCGCGAAGAAGAGGGACATGTGTGTAGCTCCTCCATCTCCAGTTGGCGCATCAGCGCTTTGCCTGCAGAGGTGGCTGATCCGTCTCAAGTAGACCACCGCAACGGAAGCTGCAGTCGCAGTCGCAGCAGAATGCATCGGAGGATGAGGCTATGGGCGTCTTCTCCCTCCACAGTAGTCATGGCCCCTGCTATCGCGGCCACGTCCCAGCCCGTATGCAGGACCCTTAATAAAGGTCTCGCCACCACCGACAGTGTCATGGCTGTCGTCGAAGGTCCATGGCGCCGCAGTTTACCCGCGCTGCTGACAAAAGGAAGCCCTACCTCGCATTGGCAGTCCCGATTCTAATGGTGAGGGGCCGGAAAGAGTTCGTTAGCAGAGCTGCCGTGGACCTGGGGTAGAAGGTCTTTAAGGTTTGAAAGAGACCATGCATTGAATTAGCAACGAATTCGAGCCATGATGTTCTCCACATACCTAAGAAACAACAAGCCCTGACAGACACAAGCTCAGCTATGAAACGTCCAGCCAAAATTTTCTAATCATTAAAGACTCTCCTCTTGCATGGTTTTTGGGCATGCCACCTGCGCGATTGGCTCGGCTGTCGTATGACGTAGAAGGGGACAACAATTTGGTGAGGTAACACAGAGTCGGCTAAGGTAGAAAAAAGTTTAGGGCTGGTAGAATAGCATGCCGAAAGCAAAGCCTTTGGGGCAGCTGGGGTGAACCCAATGCAATGGGATGTGGCATCCAGGAAAAGCATCGTAGTTTCGTGGCCGCATATGTCGCTACACTTGCGCTACCAACACCGAACATACTGCAGGACTGCGCGTTTCTACGTCGCTTGACTGTCCAATACTTCAATCACTTCATGGGGCTTGGCGTCCTCCGCAGGCAGAATAAGAACCTGTTCAGTGTTAAGTTGTCGAAGACGGGGCAGCGTTGCCTCTACCGCACAGGGAGGCACACTTTGGGGGCAGGCTGAGGCCAAGTCGGGTGAGCTGGCATCGCAACTCTGGGGTCAGGGTACTATCATGCAGCGTCGTAAAGGCAACGAAGATGACCCTCGTACTCACAGTATCAGAACCCTCCAGATGACCTGCATGCCGGGTGCCTCTCGCATCAAACAGGCGCGGTGTCTGGATTGGGAACACCGTTCTGGAAACAAACTCGCCCTGAAACACTGTCTACGCCGCGCCAATACTGTCCCTAAGCCATAGCCGGTTGCTTGGCCCGCCGGGGTGAGCTCAACTATGAGTGAAGATCCCGGACCATTGTGGCTATCTCTGTGGAGGGTTTCTCTATACCCAAGACGAAGGTCGTGCAAATGGCCTGATAAAGCCATTGACCCCATCGAGACTACGCATTTATAGCCATGTCGCGACTACGGGGGCGAAGCTCTCCCCACTGAGTGGCAGGGCCTGTAGGCGAGGCTTTGAAAAAGGAGTTCGGGATCATCTTGAACTGCATGGTTATTTGGGGGGGACCGGGCGTCTCACCATGATCATCGCACGCACTTCTACCGGCCGAATTGAACAGGCGGGTCTGCGGAGTCAGGAAGTAGGAAGTGACATAGGGGGCCCTCCAGGCTGTGGAAGGTCGGCCTGTCTCCATCGGGTACCCCGAGTCCTCTACATCAAATACAGCCGGGAACTGCGATGGGTCCTGGGAAGCGGTACTACATGGCGAGGCAGCAATGACGTAGGGTGAGCCCCAAGGGTCGTTGAAAGGATGTGGAAGGGACACTCAAAGACAACAAGCCAAGTCCACAAACCTACACAGAGGCATCGTTAAGCCACAATGCGGCCAAGCGGGAATCGAGTTCCGCCCTGTTTCGATCACACTACGGCAGACATCCGAATTCCCCGATGTGGCATTGCGGGTTCGGCGGGCTTCCGTTTACGCCGCCCGCTGCCCCTTTCGCGGCTCTTCTAGATCGTATTGGCGTGGAGGTCAGGGACGTCCGCGAATGTACCAACGGCTGACTCTGGTGATCAAGCAAAGCCCAAGCGCCGGTTGAATCCGGTGGAGCCCAGTGTCGATTGCCAGAATCTTGAGCCGTAGGAGGGTTTAGGGTTTAGGGTTTGAGAAGAACCCTACTTCGGGGTTATATCGGGATTATAGCACCCCGAAAAGGCTACAAGTTACCTACTCTACTAATAAGTCGGCGTGTGCTTCTGCCTAGGGAACCACCGCAAGGAAAGTACAGGCGCTCACATCCTGTCAATGTTCAAACCCTAAACCCTAAATCCGAAAGCCTAAACCGAAGTCTTGAGGGCAATCACCGGACCCTAAGCACCTGGCACCCCAAACTAAATGGGATAGCTTGATTAACAGCCCCTTCCCAGGTCCCTTTCGGATTTCTTCAGGGTCGATCAGCCCCAATATAGCAGGATCCTTCCTAAATATACAGGATGGCTTTTTCGAATTTCGGGGGTGCCCGTTTCGGGATCCCTATAATTATTTACCTTGTTTTTCCAGATCCTGATTAGCTACTCAGGGTCCCTATTCTCTGAGATCCTGAGGCCCGGCTGCCCAACCCTAAACCCTAAACCCTAAACTACCCTAAACCCTAAACCCTAAACCCTAAACCCCCAAACACGTGTCAGGCAAGACCCTGGCTCTCTCCAAGTTCTCTTCGACAGTGCAGTTCCTGGATGGGTTACATGGGGGTACTTCTCTAAATGAAGGTCCCTTTTAGGGTCCTTTTTATAAGGGTGCCGTACTATATTGGGGATCCAAAAAGGGACGCTAATTTAGAAAACTAGCCATGGGCTTTTGAGCGAAAGTTTGCGCCTACACACAACATCCATCCATCCGTCCATATATATGCATGCATGCATGAACACATAACATACCTACCTCTATTGCGTTACATTACATCACAGTACGTTGCGGTGTGTTACGCAATTTTTGTTACGTTACATAAACTAACCGGACATAACCTGAGAAGACCTAACATGACGTAACATCGCATAACATAGCAGAACATAACATCACATCACCTAACATCACAAAACATACCCTACGCTACATCTCTTCATACACACGTACCTGCATACATGCAGGCACGTATGCAAGTAATACAAAAACATGCACACATACGTATAGTTTTAGGGTGGTGCGTTAAACTACAGTAGTATACGTATACCTGTGGTGTTCCAACAACCACTAGAACCACCAGGCCTGCTTGCTGGAAGGTTGCAATGCTCAAACCTCACCCTGCGCACAGCTTTTGTGACGTGTGACCCTGCCATGTTGTACGCGCCCTGCTTTGCGATAAAGCGACAAACACAACCCCGAACCAGGAAATGTTGCTCACGCAAGCCCTGCAAGGGGCGGGAGGGCAGGACGGTAGCACCGCAGGGTTTTTTAGGGTTTAGGATCGGCTTCACTGCTGAAGCGTTCATGTCGAGTCTAGGTCTTGGCTTTCAGATCTTCCGGGCTTTGGGCATCAGGGGGCGGTCATGTGTTGTCTGTAAAGCTGCACACGGTTTCGAGGTTTTTCCGTGCTGTTCTACGTCTCTGAAGTTGGGGCCAGTTTGCACACACAACAGCCTTGCAGTATTTTGTGGGGAGCTTGGAACAATCCTTAGCAAAATCCCACCTCAGTCAAGCTGCGTGTTCTTTTGGGCGAAGGTGTCGCTGGCGGCAGCAAGGAGGGTGACCTTCGAAGCTACTTCTACCCTGCCTCGCCTACCTACCTGTCATGACCTTCTTCCTGCCGAAAGCAAGCTACCCGCTACCCGAAAAAGGAACTGGAATGCACGGCACACGCTGTCCGCGATCGCAAGCTTTCAAGGACCTCTGCAGGCATCCCTTCAGTAGATAGACCATAGATAGCTTCACTGGACCCTCCCCACAAGATAAACAGACCGTAAAGACAACGATAGATGGAATGTCACCCGGGAGCCAAGATATTGAAATTGCGACTTTGCCAACCTACACCGACTCTGTCCCAAAGTGAACCTTACATTCAGTCGAGTCCCATCCATAAGCCTCAGACCCTATGCTATTCAACTGATTAAGTAAGCGGTTTCATTAAAGATCCCTGAAGTTCCCAGGCTTGCAACAGCAACTTGAACTTGATCGACATTTTCATGCGCAAAGGCACAGCATCTCAGCAGGTTCGGGTTGGGTGCAGCATCAACAAAGCGCGTCGGGTCCCTTGGCCCGTGTGCACCTTTCAGGTACATGTGGTATTTTGGTTCCAGCTTCTCTTTCATCACTAAGAAATCACCATCACGTCATTTTTATTCTCATCGTAGTCTCATCGTCCTCCCTCGCCGTGCTCATCACCATTACCACAATTGCCTGTGCCCGTGCCATTGTCAGTATAATTTCTGCTGCTTCGAAACATCATAATCAAAAACCAGCATCATCAAATCAGCAAGCCCTAAACCCTAGACCCTGCCTCCTTTGCTCCTGCTGCCAGGGCCGCCTCACATCGGGGCTTCGTTTACCGGAGTTTACTGTTATCGGGTTAGGTTCAGGGTTTGGGGTTTAGGGACGTCAAACTACTAAACTAAACTCCAACACCCTACACCCAAAAATCCTAAATCCCAAACCCCTCAAACCCTACACCCTACACGCCGAAGCTTTGAATTGAATTAACTGCCTGTACAACGCGAGAGCAGCTAAACACGAATCGTCTGTTTTTGTGCCACTTCGGCACGGGTTATTCCAAATCTGAGACCGTTCCTGCCAACCGAGAGGGCGCACGGCCCAGATTCGTCAGACCCCAACGTAAAGCCGCAAGTACTGAATGATTGAAGTGTAGCCTTTCTTATCCATTTAAAGAAACTTAAGACTTTTGCCTGAAACCATCCGAAAGTATCATCCCACGGTACCGAACACCATCCCCCAGGTTCTGAACACAAGAACTTGAAGCACAAGCACTGAACCCTAACCCCAAACTCCGAAACCTACGGAGCACAAGGTCCCAAAGGGCATTAACTGACGCGCAATTGCCACCCCGCCCTGGACCCCAGACGCGAACCCTTTGAGCAATCTGCGAACAACCTGCGGCGCTTAAACCCAGCTTGACACCCTAAACACCTGAATTTTGCACAGGCTTGATTAGTGCCTGCCCGTCCAAATTCCCCGCAGCAAATCGAACTCGTGCCCCTAAACCCCTAAACCCTTAAACTACCTGTAGTCTCCATTGTAGTTCTTTTTGTTCGTTTTATGTATTAAGGATTTTATAAGGTATCCCCCAAAAGGAACTACAAAGGAGACTACAGGTAGCTTGTATTGTCAACTCCGAACCACAAGAGCCGTAAACTCAAAAGCGCCTAGACCCCAAAACCCTGAACCCTCAGAACACGAAACCAGAAGCACCTGTATAGTATGGTAGTGCCTGTTCTTCAGGGAACCGGAAAAAAACAAAAAAAACCTACTTAAAGGATTATGGGACTTAGTAACTGAGGTTATAAATAAGGTAGCTGTACTTATAATTACTTATAGCCCCAATTAAGGTACTTATAACCCTACTTACTGAGTCCCAAGATCCTCCAAGTAAGACCCCTAAACCCTAACCCCTAAACCCAAAAAGCCTAAACCCTGAAACCCTAAACCCTATAGAAGGGGCCTATGGTGCACTAAGGATCCTCCAAGTAAGAGCCCTACGAAGACCAGACCCTTGGCCTCCAAACCGCGGAGGTTGGGGACGAGCACTGGGAAGCGCACGTCCGGATGCTCTGTGACGCCTCAAATAATGCAGGGGCCTTAATAATTAGAATAGGGTTTTGGGCTTCTTTATAGTGTCTTTATATTAAGGAACCCTAAGTGCGTGAGGGTTTGGTATTGATGATATGTTGTAGATGCTCACCTCACCGAGCGTGTTGTTGATATAGTTGTGGTATTGCCAATGCAGAACTCACACGCGCAATTGCACACAATGTAGAACGGCGCACCCTTCCTTTTCTCACTCGCCTTGGCTGACGTTGAGTCTTTGCAGTCGGGATTGGCTCTGTCCTCTTTATGCGTCGAAATGGCAGAAAGGCTGC